TAGTCATGCCAATTGTAAATGAAATAATCTGTGATGCCCCCCAAAAAATATTGGGATGAAAATATAGGTAGTATTTAAAGTCATAATTAACCCGAGATCCACGAGTTGAACTGCTATATAATGTGTCTGTCTTTGGAAGGGGGTTGGGTGGTCGATAGGTCTAGATCATTGAGTCGCGTGGTTTGGTTCCGATCCCAAGCTTGTACATTGTACGTGACAAGGAGCAGGGTCGCCTGTCCGACATCGTGGGCTTTCTCCGGGTCTCCCGGTTTCCTCCCACATCAAGTGAAGTATTGAAAAAAAAACTGAATCATATGTTAGTCCCGATATCATCTAATTGCTTAGTCTACTAGAATAATTTATCATAAAATAAAGTACACCGAACAATCTTGAACTCTACTTTTAAAGCTTAATTTCGTAGGTCTCAAGGTGTATAAAAAAAGGTTCTTTAAATAAAATCGGATTGTTCGTTTCTCTCTACCATTAATTCTAATACACCTTGTCAGAAAACCCACATATTTTACCATAAAAATGAACAATTTTTACGCTTATTTTACCCGATTGGTAATAAATTACTTCTGAGAGAATGCTTCACAATTCGGTAGACCAAGGTAGACCAAGCAATCTTAAGTCTTTACAAACGTCAGTTTTGGGGACATTTTTTCCCTCTATTACTTATGTATGAACAATAAAAGCTGTTTAAAGTTCGCACCTAGTTATCCTTCATCGATGTTCTAAAGTCTGCCTCGCATCAATTGCTGGGAATAATTTGATATGAATACTGTTTGTACATTGTTCGTTAGAGTTTATATAATATATATATAGAGCAGACTTAACAAAATCATATTGAACAAGTAACCAGCAATCTCACAAGCAACCTGCATTAATTTTACTAACTATTACGTAAATCAGAACAATTACGAAATGGGATATGGCACTCTTATTATAGCATCTTCGATGGACATTTGAAATGCCTGTGATATATGTACCGACAGAAGAATGCAGGTCAATTGCAAGGACCGAACGGAGAGGCAATGTGGTTAGATACATATTCCCTGAGCATTAGACCCGGATACCTCAAAATGTTATATTTAACGAAAACGTCTTTAACATTGTTATCAATTTTATATAAAAAAAAACGAAAAAAAAAATTCCAGTCTTTGAATGGAGTTTAAAGCATACTATAGTTATGGTCATCTACATATTTACTGAACCCAACAAACCTATCAAATACAACGTTTGAAAACTCGAATTAGTAACCTAAATAAAATATTAATTAATCACGATGTGCATATAATAACATTTAATTAAGAGGATAGTATAGACTATAATAGATCTCCTTGCTACTGGTGATAACTGTAACAAAAAATTCATGGGATATGGACAATTAGAAAGTTTCACAAGAAGACACCTGTGATGTTTTATATAAATTTGCATCAACACAAATCATCTACATTTTTTTCAATAAAGAAGTCAATTACGTTATCCAACTGAAAAATATATGGCTAAGTTCATTTGGTTCAAAATTCACCTCGTAGACTATATTTTTAAGCAAAAACTGTCGAATCTAAATTACTTCAATATTCTTTATGAAGCAATTATATTTTTATTAGTAAACCAGGTGTAAAAGTGTCTTAATTCTTAAATTTGGACTGAAAACATTTTGCACAAGTATTTCTAAAATAAACTACGCCAATTTTATGCATGACATCCGACCATTCTTGTTTCAAAATGTGTGGATATCAAAATAAAATCAACATTTAAGCCAGGAAAAGATGAAATCTACATGTGTTAATTCTCCATAAATGAACCATTTCTTTAACTCAATATCATTCAGTCTTCGACTTTGCAAACACGACTTGTTGGTCAATTTAAATCTTACCGTGAAATGTTGGGCTTCTGGTGTCCAATATTTAAGACAAAATGAAAATTTTAAAATTGGCACACGAACCGTGTGCCAGAATGTATGAACCAACTCGATGAACCACGCTAAACATATCCCATGTAGGAGAATACTACCGGTGTAGACTGGAATAACTAGACGCCAAAGACTGACATTCAATTCAGACTCTTCGCGTATTTCACCGAATAAAAATGATTAAGAATTGCCAAAGAATACCTCGAGACAATAAATAGATTTCCGAGTGATTTCACAATGGGGTTCTTATACAAAAGAAATAATCTAATGCCATAAATTACCACCACATGTAACCCCACATTTAAAACTAAGATAATCGCAACTATCTTAATTCCTTTTGAGACAACTAAGAGTTAGATATTTCGATCTTCTTTCGGTTCTACTCTTAATGCCTTTCAATAAAGAATAGTCTCGAAGAATATGGTTAAGTTTACAATACATTGCTTAAAACAAGTCTTTACAAAATAACATAACTTCATCCTCTACAAACAAGTACAACTATTGGCAAATGTTTACTCATGACAGTAGCCGAGATTTTGAAACTGACGTTAATCTGTTAAACTAAGACAGATAACCTGAATAATTTGAAAGATACACAACATTATCCACGGAACAGTTTGACAAATCGTTGGAGTTCTCGAGTGTAAGGTTCATGTACTCCAGAACATCACCCTAAATCTCCGTTAAAGGGGTTGTCTCTATGTATTATCCTTTTCTTCTCTGTAATTGAGCTATGCCCAATTATTATTAATATATTAAAATGTTAAATTGTACCAATACGTAAGATTTTATATTATCATCAGAACCAATAATATTCTTCAATGTTCTGATTTAGTATGTTATGGTCTTATTTATTTTTGTTAAAAGATGGATAAAGGCACAATATATATATATATATATATATATATTTATACCCGTCCTGTGTCTGAGATACTTTACACTGCCTGTATTATTGTGTATCGTATATAAGCAATTTGAAACAAAACTTTAAAACTGCACGACTTCACAATTGGCCTTGTACTTCAAATTTGTAAAAATCAAAATTAATTTGAAATGACGACTTTTATTGCGAACAACTGTTTATGAAATAGCTTTATATCAAAAATAATTGCTTTGTAATTTATATATTTGTCATATGACGCTGATAAATGTGATACATAACTTGGATTCTATTTTTTTTTAGGAAGAGTAAGTATATAATAATGTTGGTAACCTACACCGATATCATTCAACGATATCAAGGTGGTACAATCTTCATTTTAAAGAGACGCGAGCAGTACGAATAAATTTTTATATTTATATGGTTTATTCATCACTGCTCTAAGAAGGTAAAAAAAAAATGTTCATGACTTTATTTAAATATAATATGTTATATTAATGACAATGTAATGTTAACTATCTAGAGGTTTGATTTGAGAAACTCGTCGGGATTCTTTCAAGCGGGTTAACGCCTTCGGAGCTGACGAGTAGTGTTATCTAATTGTTCAGATGGGACGAACATTCAAGGCCCATTCGTGTACATACAGGCGTCAACGTACAGAAACACTTTAGAGTTGTAGTCGGAAACGCCGCTATCCGGGAAATATTCACCGCCATAGCATTGCACACATGACCATGGACAAATATCCGTATGTTAGTCTCAAATGAGTCAAACATTGGGTTGACGGGACGTTAAACCCCATTTTATTCTATTTATTAACGAGTACCGGTAGTTAAAGGCACGATATGCCTGATCATTCACATATATCTCAAACGTCAATAATATTACTATTTTATTCTAAACACTGTAGACAGTAGTTGTTCAGCATTTCCGAATTTGCAAAAACCTGGATTACAGCAAAAAGATTACACGAAAATTATTACTTTATTTCTTTATTTATCTAAGACACATAAAGATGTCGGTGTAAAAATCAATAGAACCCAACGTAAAGTTTAAATTGTCATGACTTAAGTTAGAATTTATCAATTTAAATTAGCTTTGGACCAGAAAGTATTTTTACATAATCAACCTACTGTTTATTGAGTATTGTCGTATATTCTATATTTAACATCTATTCTATCATGTTGGGATTTTAAAGGTAGTGACTACAGTGTTTTAATTTGACGACTTCGAACAATCGAGTAAGATGTTTTAAACCAGTAGTAGTAGATCGACAGCTATATAGATAATATTGGTGACACAAAGTATGTTCATTCTTCTCTGTGACTAATGTGTACCACCATTTTAGTAATAGCCCTTCGAAATCTTCACCTCAATGTCTGCACTGAAACTATCAGCCAATTTACTCTATGTTTATCGGTACGGTATGTTTGATGTCTGGAGGAGTTTTGAAGTGTTGCGATAGAGGGCTCAAGTACAGATTACCAATAATCCCTGCCCATAATACCCCTCTCACACACAAATTGCCTTCTTGTTGTTTGATGCTATCAGTGGCTCATAAAACACTTACAGCTTTGTGTGACAATGACTCTTGTTCACTTTGATTAGCGGAAGTTTGTTTATTACAGCTGGATTTGTCCATCGATCTAATAGAAAGCAATGATCTAATTTGATAAGATTGTCGACCGCAATTTAAATACACAATACAAATAATGACGAGTTAGGTTAACGACCAGTCAATTATCGTAGACGGGTAACTAAGCAGACAATATATCTATAAACTTCTAGGAACTCTCTCTAAGATAGATATTGTCTGCGATATGGGCTGTGTAGAAGTAGCAGTATACCAGTTCTATAATAAAAGTGTCATGGGAAACATGCAGCGTGCGGATCAAATCGATGACAGAAAGCTATTTATTCATTGTGTGAGATCTAAACACAACTTAAAAATATTATCTTGTTTAATAAATGTATATGTATGTGTGTGTAAACAGGGGACAACTTAAAATATTGAATAGATTTGTCACTGGAAAATCTTCCTCTGATCTGGTGGAACAAGACTTGAACAAAGTGCCAGTTACCAACGAGATGAATGGGATACGATAAGAACCCACCAAGGAACATAGTTTATAAATAATAGTATGGGTTTCAAAACGAAATTGGGATAAATAATGGTTTATGAAATGAACTGGTACTTCTTACCTTTCTACCCACTTCATTATTATGTAAATTCATCAAATTGCGTATATCCCTAGAGTCTTCGTGTCGCACTATCTCTGGGGCGTCCACAAAACCTTGGCTAAATTTTAAGCCATAGTCTACATTATCGGAGCATCCACCCCACTGGAAGCCCTCTCCTTTATTGTCTTGTCCATAGCGACTCATGTCACAAGAACAGTCTGTTAAATTTCCCGCACTACACGATTGCGTCACAGAATGCACTACCCCGGCACTCAATATGGCATAAATGAAAGCAGTTTCTCTGGTTCCTGAAAAAATATAAAATAATTATGAAATAAGATTAAATAGTTTTTTTAATAATGTAGGAAGTAACATAAAATATAGGCCCACTTGTACCTAAGTCAACCGATGGATTCATATTAACAAAAGATACCAGTTTGGCTAATATAATTATGAAAAATGTTATCTTTTAAACAATCACACAGTTTTACAAAGTTCCAGTGACAGTTTTGGGTGGAATGGAGAGTGAGGTAGGACATGATTTGACAATATACGTAACACTAATACCAGGGGTTTTAAAGCCACGCCAGGCGATGGGGAACGTCTAGGTCTTGTAATATGCTAAAAAAAAACAATTTTTAAGGGCCATCAACGGCATCACAGCAATTCTGAACTGAGTTAACGACTGGACTTATTTGGTGTAATAATAAACAGTACTAAAATTTAGAATTGATGACACTAATAATCTAACAAAGCATAATGGACACATAATATGTATTTTCCAAAACAAGTACGACCGTACTATGGACCAGGAACCGAGTATGGCGTTGTCGCAGACATCATGAAATTGTGACACCATACCAAATATCCAAGGCAGTCAACCGATGTGCCATTGCCCCAGGAACAAACATGCCAAGTTTAATGGCGGTCGTACTTCAATTGACGGAGTCTTGGGATTTTATCGAAGACAAGAAAACGAAAAAGATGACTAACGTTTGGACCCAGTTCCTGGTATAAAAAAAAACACACAACCGCAAACCGATATCTACTTAATATACACAGGTTACACCCAACACACGATAAAATATTTTTCGCGTTGCAAGCCCGATTACTGCATATCTAATCCCCGTTAAGGTAAATCTCGATGTCACAAAATATAGCAATGGAATAGAATGTGAAAGTTTAGGTAACTAAGTTACTCACGGACAGAAACACAACTGTCTTTAGTGTTGTATACAAAGATGAATATCAAATATATCAGCCCAGTATTTTGAAAACATCTCTATCAGTCACATCAGACATGTTTTATACAATGGCCATTTTGTCATATTTATCTTATCTCGCCTTGAAAATGCTTTACGACCGATTTTGTCAGGCGGCAAAAATTGTATCAGCTATGATACGCATATTAAGTTATTTTTCTATTTGAGGTATGCAAAGCTAATGTTAATTTAATACAGTTACAGGGCATGGATCTAAGTCTCCGAGTTCTAAACCAACAATATATTCAGTAAAAAGGTTTAAAACATATTTATTTCTTGAAGTAATGGGCATAAATTATAACTTTAATGCACCAAAGAGAGAGAGAGAGAGGGAAATGGGGTTTAACGTCCACTCGATACAATCTAGGTCATTTCGGGACTAACATATGGTTTAATTTTATTTCAATAATTCGCTTGCGCGTAGTGTTCTTTAGCATTGGGAGGAAACCGGAGGACCCAGAGAAAACCACGAGGTTGGACAGGTGACCCTACTCCTTGTCACGTACAACCGGGGATTCGAAACCACGCCAGTTGACTCAATGACAGGCTTCGTGATACAGCGCGCACGTAATAACCATTCAGCCATCCAACCCCACAAATGCACCAAAGACGTATGCACTGGAGGAGTCGGGATGTTGGTTGCCACGCATAAGTCATGCGTTCGACGTCGTTCCGGCAGACGGGCGAATGGGTATAGCATTATACATAAGCTTGCAAAATTAAAGGCATTAGGAACTACTTTGTACAATGTTTGATAACGGATAGAGGGAGAATGAAAGCTCATCAGTAGAAATTATTTCGTCTATTGATCCCTTTGGATATATATCCAAAATGCAATTTTCCAAAAAATATCCCAGTAGTTCGTATTAGGATGCTTTTCAAAATTTTAGTTATGAAATTGACAAATTCCTTGTAATAAAACATAACCTATTAAAAGCATTAACCTTTCAAGTACATCCTTTGTGTATGGTATAAATTAATATCGTCTGATGGATGTTGTTTTTTATGTAAGAAACGCACCTTCTTTCCAGAACTACGGTTTTAGTCCCGAGATGGCCTAATTTTTGTTGAGTGGACTCTATACCCCATTTCTCTCTTTTTCTGTCAGAACTACGGTTTATTTTTTTAGGAATTAGTGAAAATAAAGTCCTGCTCACACGTCAGAAACTGTCAATGTGATCAGATTTCTATAGCTATACACATGGACATAGACCATTATCAAAATCAAAACTTCTTTCATAAAGTCACAAAGTTGAAATTCTTGTAAACAAAAGTAGGGGATATGGTACCAATGGTTATTTCCAGTAATTATTAATGATTCCTGGAATCAACACTAGATGGAACTTATCTGACTGGATGTTGCCAAAATCTGTGTGTAGGACTGCGCAGTCAAAACAGTTTATTGAACTGCTGTATTTAAACAATCATGTGTTTACCGTTCAGTAACTTTAGCTTCTGAAATTCGTATCTTGATAAAATATACCAAAATGGTATGCTAAAATTGAATGTTGGAACTGTGCGTTATACAAAAACTGATATTGAAAATAGAACCAGTAGTTAACTTGCTGTTCAATGAAAGCCGTTGAGGTGAATATCACTTCCTCATCTACATATATAAATTTACGTCGCAAGTTCTTTTTTGTGCATGTGTAATTAGGTTTCTTTTATCTCATCACCTTTTTTCTGTTGTGCAATAATCATGCACTGATGATTTATATTCAGCGTACCTAAGTGATTTGTTTTTCCTTCTAACAATAGTTCAAAATTCAAGCTTCGGCTTCAGAAACCCACGTTCAAACAAAAATTAGTAGTGATGGACTTCAGGTATGCTTATTCATTCTAGCTAAGTCCGATATCACTGATTTATTTGAGAAGTTCATTTAGAGTTCTAATCCCTAAATCTAAATAGTTCCATTGTAACATAGTTCGAAACAAAACATTTATATATAGTATACCCATGGATAACAATCACACGAATAATAAAATAGCATTTCCAGCAAAATAAACAATAGAAAAGAAAATGGAAATGACAATAAAAATCCAAAAACATCTTCCATGGGCATAATAAAACAACGCAAAAGCTTTCAAAATATGGCACGAAAACAGATTTTTAAAAATAATTATCTGATAAAATAAACAAATGGGACTAGCAATAAAACTTTGCTTGCAATGGATATGTTTTGTCTATAAACATTAAAATATTGATATTTGGTGTAAGTTTCCATCAGAGCAGAAGTAGAAACTAGAATGAAACAACAAATCTGCAAATCTCATTAAATGTGGCGCCTGTGCGTTACATTTACTCCCGATTTTAATTCGGGGCCAGACGTTTTATTGGGGCAGGTGTTTTGTCGTTTTTGAATACGGCAGTTGCTCTTTTATGAGATTCTATGAAAGCAGAAAATTGTTTATGGGAATTTACCTTTGGCGTAAAAACTGTTGGAAAAGTTTTTATGTAGACGAATACAAACCATACTCTACGTTCTTCTCCTTCACAAAGTTTTATTGCCACATTTGCCACAATACAATTTCTCCCAAAATCCCAAACTATACCAGCAACGAAAGCAAATGTTTAGTCTATATAAAATTTATATACACCCCAAGCCGAATTCAACAATTTTATTGGATGTGTAAGTTAGACCTTTAGAGAATTTGGTGAGAACGACTATGCGAATGATATCTTGTTGTTACGGTTTGATGCTGTTCCTATTGTCGAAATCAAAGATATGGTTCTTAATAATAAAGTGGATAACCGATATGTTAATTTTTTTTATATAATATGCATATTTACAGTTTGAACGAATAAATAATTATCGTTTTCTATCGTACGGGCATAGAGGTCAAGAGAGAAAAGCATATGAAAGGAGGATTTTTGAATGGAGGGTTTTCATTGAGTATTTGGTGTAATTCGTTTACTCTTCAAATTCTTGCGTCCGTCACAGTGGGCTTTGAATATTGTACTAAATCACCAGTACACACCCCCAATCCAATCTAAAGACAATCTCCCACTGAATGTTGGTAAAGTCACCCGAAAGCCAAAGAGAATTGTGTTATGTGAAAGAAGCTTTTCTACACTTCGTTTGTATGTCCCGCTAACCAAACCCTAGGATGCATTCCTGATAAGTTTTCTGAATGTGAATAGGCGGGTGGTTATGTCTTTAATGGCCTTTAAGGGGTGATTTGTAACGGTATTTTTTCAAAGGAATAAAACACAGAGACAGTCGTACGTGACATCTTAAAGTAGTTCGGTTGTCAATTGTTCGGCAAAACGAGATAGAGACGGTATGTGCAAACACTGAGATCGCAAGCAGATTACCAATGCACTACAAATGAAAACGATACATTCTTATATTGTACTGCAGCATACTTTGGCGATTGTCTCATATCTCAAAAGAATTGAATTAAACCAAATGAATTACTAGTTTCCAGTATACTTATTGCAATAATTATTATTTTTTCATTAGTGATTTGACATCAAATGCAGTGGCGTCTACTGCGTATCAAGTGGTGCTGTTTAAAAAACTATCGTGTTACATCGTGTAAGATATATTCTTGTGATAGTCGGGAATTTAATAATTTTACAACAATTATACTTATTTGAACAATATAGACCATAGTACAATAATAAAAAAACATTTATTATCATAAATTCAATATAGACCTTCAATATGGCTTCATCAACCTGTCGTGAAAAAAAAATCGTTCGATATTCTCGAGACAAGACCAAGACCATCTAAAACTTACCAGGCAGGGTCATTTGCCATTTATATGACATGTTTTGAAAATATTTCCTTGTTTTTTTACTTTCATTTCCAACATGTATTGTTGAAAAGAGTCACAGTTTTCTCCCTTAAACCCTGTGACTAATAACGTTTACTTCGTGTGTTTATCGCCTTTGTTAAAGAGGTGGTACCTTTAAAAAGACATTTACACGGGAAACGTCAAAAATAAACCGAATGATTTATTGTCGTAATATCAGATCGAAACCAAACAAAAGCTATTATTTTTTTAACATTTTAATTGTTAGTTTTGGCACCTACAGAATATCCCTGCATCAAATGTCCAAAATGATATCTTTGTAGTTCAAATATTGTGACCCCTTAACATAATATGATCGACGTGTTCAAAGGAAATATTTCTTATAACAGGGAATATATTTCTATTCATATCTGCAGTGTATAATTTGGAAGAAAGAGTGGAAGAAGATTAAATCGGTTATACAATAATGTACAAGCAGATATCAAGAGCTTACAGTAAAGAGATTAGTGATATCTATCACGCCCTCTATACCGTATCACTTGCGCTTTACGTTATAAATATGGCGAGACCATTTCAGCAATTCAATACTACAGCGATTTTGAAAAAAATAGTGCAATGAAAAGAAAGATGATTTTAAAATGAAAACTGTTTATTTCATCAGCAACATGGCGTACACCATATAACGACCAAGATGTGCACGTTTTAGCAATAGCGAAGAGTCGTTTGATTTGCCGTGTTCTCATCAAGGCTCCTAATGGATCCAACAGCTTTTAGACAGAAAAATTTAAAGAGCAAAAGGTGCCTGCATGCAAGCCGAAAATAATTCGCCTGTGAAGTAACGCTGAAGTTCAAAGACGAAGCTTTGAAGCGGAACACGAGGTTTTATGAATATCTAGCAGAAATGCACATTCTTCACAGAACTACGTCTAAAGCAGAATTGGATAATAAATTCTCTCGAGGCTCTGTTTAATATCCCTGATGGGCTTTTAATAGAAGTTTGAATGCTGTAATGACCCTCTAATGTTGCCATCACGCACATGTTTCGTTGATTAATGTTTTTCTGACTATTGTAGTTAAAGAATCCTAAGGCAGACATCATATTTCGACATTGATCTTAACTTAACCCGTTTTTTATAGTTGCTATACGACTTCAACTCGACAAAAGAAAACTCCTTTCAATTCTAGGATAGCTTCAAAACTATCAACACGAATTCACTTTTACCTCTAATAAATAGAAGACGGCTGTTTGGGATTGAAATGGAAGTTTTATGGGTATGGGAGACAAGATTTTATATTTCTGTTGAAGATAATGACTCGTATACGAACAATATTCAAAGAAAAGTGATAATCTATTCGAATTGAATAATGTTTTATGATGTTACATTGTGAATGCCTTGAATACAGATAACGCCTGTTCTAAATGTCGAGTAGAATTCAATTGGTTTGCGTTTGACACAATTGCAGCATAAACGCCAGGGTCGTTCTAAAAGTAGATCAAAGTAAATTCGACACTAAAATTCGACGTTTAAAATAGTATCTCTATTGTTCCGCAAGTTTGTGGCCAAATGTGCCAAACTTTCAACTTTCAGTCGTGTGGAATAAAAACATCATAAACTCCTCTCGGCACATGAATAAAACGTAGTAAAATGGGTAGCTAAAAATAAACCAAACCAAATTTAGTTAGTTCGGATGGATATATAATGTATAAATGTGGGTTAAATGCAATTGGAGCAATTACAGAAATAATCAATTGAGAGAATATATTGAACTAAACAAATTTCAAAACACTAAAATTGTCAACATATTATTATTTTTTTCGCAATTTTTTTATGATTTGCTGCTAGCGCCTAATCAACATCAAACCATCCTTTCGACATGTAAATGGTGTTATTAATAAACATTTCAGTAAAAAACACACAACCCGTTTACCTGATTGCATAATAAAGTTGAACAATGCAACATATAATTGTAGCATATTACCAACAAAAAAGGACGAATGGAATTCTTTAATATTCCAATAAAATTTGAATGATATTTAAAGTTCCTACCTTTACTAAGAACGTGTCCAAAAACTGTCTGATTTCCTACAAGAGTACAATTCCATCTTTCAAATTTAAATTGTTTTTGACATTCTATGATTCCACGTCGAGCACCTTCACCGATACAATAAACAGATTCTGGATTTTTCAAGCACACTTCTTTCTGTTGAATAACAAGGCCAGGTATTTCACAGTCATCTTTTTGCAAAGATCCTGCTAGGGAAGCAACACCTAGAGACCTACAAAATTTTACAAAATATAGTTTAATTCTAAGATGACACAACATTATGAATCTAAAGTCCAGGAGAACAAACCAGGTGCATCGCTATATTAGAATTTATATATTTACCATAAGTTTGTTTGGGTCTTTTTTTAAAAAAAAATAAAAAGTAAATTTTTTAAATGTGGAAATGTACCATAAATTGTTATCCTATCAGAGAACGAAACTTTGAATAATTCTCGAAAATAGGTAATGTTACTTTCCACGACAGACAACATAAAAATCACTTCTTGATACAAGTGATTTTTTTTCCAGTGACATGCGTTTGTGTCTAGGTTATCTAAGATTTGATATAATAGTAAATAAGATAATATAGTAGTGTTTAGAAATCGGCACAATGTATCTTTAAATACGCGTAGTTCTTTTGACATGTTTAAATTAATCATTCAACTTAAGTAACCTATTTATCACTTGAAAATTTGGAAAAAATGTTCTATGTTTTGCTTTCTGTTAATACAGATGTCAAACTAGCTATTAATTTCCATTTGTTTCAATAGAGATAATTAAGAGGAATTTTGGAAATGATATATTACTGACATTTAAAAATAAATTCTGAAAACATATAGCAGAGAATTTGTCAGTTAAAGAAGCATATAAACCGAAATGTGTAGGGTAAGTCCTTAATATAGATCTTACAAATATTTGAGACATAATAATTTGTAGGCCTGTGATGTACGAAAGATAACAATAATTTGTGTGTTTTTCTTCAGTCGATGATTTGTAGGCATGTTCATTTCCTGTCTTAATTTACAAACTTAATAAAACAGAAAAATGAAACAATTTACTCGTTCAGTTAAATCAAAGTCTGTACCTAATGGAATTTATAGGCCAATCAATGTTTATATTATTATGTAACGAAAATAACGATTCGATTTTCTTTTTAACACATTTTGTGTCATTTCTTTAAAAATGATATCAATTATAAAAAGATTTGAATAAATCTAAAATTATAATATTTTAATATTTTTATAATAAAAAATATCAATTGTCCAATAAATATTACAAAATATTGTATAATAAGTAATTATCTTTCTGCATTTTAAATAACCTCCATTAATTTACAATATGTAAAATGGGCTAATGTAGGCTAATGGATAAACTAATTTAAAAATATTAATTTCAAAGTTTACAAAATAATTATTCCTGAAACCTCCATAATTCTTCATAATATAGTAAAAAACCCATCAGCCTTATGAATGAATTAAAATAATTTAGGGAAATGAAATAGTGTAGGGTCTCCACTATTTGGAAATTCTGAAATCTAACCTGTAGCCAACGTTTTCTTTGAAGTGAAATTCAACATCAAAGATATAATATGTAATATAATCGTTTCTATTTATCAATGTTTGTGAATGTGACTATCCACATTTTAGCACGGGGATCGACTCAGATTGTATTTGCTGATATTAGATTATTATGGCTATTTTGAAGAATAAAATGTCTCCTTATCAAAAGCTTAATGGTTGTAAATGTCTTCTTAGATTTAAATCCGCCATTTCGTTTTGAAATCATGAATGAATACTTAAAAAAGATCACTTACATCCAAGCAATAGCCAGAACCTGGCATTCTGTTAAAAACAGAAAAAGTAAAATTATTCTTAATATCCAGTGCCGTGTCGGCAACAGGCAATATGCCATCTTTTTTTCACACACACATTCCTACTTGATGGTTACGGTATTAATCCAGTTTGGGTGTAAAACCACATCGAATGTATTGATATTCCTAGCTATCTATCAGAGCAAATGATACATCCCGTCAGTGTTGAAAGCCGAACATTATTCATTACAGCTTTTTACAAGCCGCTATATCTTTTCATTGGTTACTTCTGCCCAGGTAGGAAAATGGATTATTTTCATTGGTCGTTGCATCACGTGATATGGTAATCTATCAGATTGCGTCGTCTAGTCACCGGTCTTATGGAAAGTTGTGAAGTAAACGCTAAAAAGGTGTAGTAAATGACGTAAACTGATCGACTTAAGGTCAATCCATATATCATATCCAATAAGACACCTAAGATAGTATAGAATACTACTAGATGATAAATATCTCAATAGCTTATGTGCTACGGAGTACGTTTCTCCCCTTATCGGCAAAGATAAATGTATAGATATAGAAGACATTTTAATAACAACTATCCACATTGCATTATTGTCGGCTATTTTTGTTTATGTACACCGTTAAATAGATTGTCAATCCACAGTTTCATAGTTTAGAAATGGGAGCAGTACAAATTGTTGGCTATAGGTGGTCATACGAATAACAAAATGATGCAACTATTTCAGTATCGCTAGGGGCTTATCCTTTCTTAATTTATTTCTTATTATCGTAGAACATCGATAGCTCACTATAGTGATATGATTACTTGAAATTTTTCCAAAAAGATGTAACAGTACGCATATAAATAGGAGAACAAAAGTTGCACACTACAGAAATTTACGGCATATCTACACAGAAAGAATTATATGGAGAAAAGTGTAAAATCCTTTCTATCAATATTGTCATCAGATAAAATTTGCCTCTTTATTTACCTGGAAGGTGTCAAGGTTCAGAATAATAATACATTTCCAAGGGCTGAAAAATTACAAATTATGTCGTTTTTTGATTTGTTAATAAGCGTGCAATTGCTTTATTGTAACAATTCTTATTGAAACTGCTCTCTTTTTATATATACATTTCACCCCGGCACTTTAAATTAAAAGATTGGTAATCTAATTTTATTTATCAAAGCTAACACATATTAAAAAAAATAGATATTTTACAGCAAAAAAGCAAGATGGATGTTGAGCACTGAATCAGAAAAAATAGGCGTATAATTCATCAAGCATGTGTTAAAAGGCCAACCTGAAATGAACAAACGCATATATTAAAAATTCATGTCTCTTCGATAATTGAAAGGGATAGTAAGGTAAAAATTATAAAATGTTCAATTAAAGTATGCTATAGATATTGTATATGCCCATTAACACTATTTTACTAATGTTGTGAACAACTCAGAGTACATTAAAAATTCACGAGGGAAAGCAAAAACATATGGCGGAGACTTGATGAAGTCAATTTCAAAAAGTTTAACCATGCGGCACATTTCAACAAATACTTGGTTTCAACAGCAGTTTTGGTATGTAGCAAAATATGCTTTTCAGATAGATGTATGCTTATTAGTTAGGCTAAAACTGACTTTAAACTATCCTCTGATGTATGGAGATTATCATGAACGAATCCCAAAACAATGGACATCCTTATATAACAAACTTTGCCGTATAGAAATGGATATCGAGAAGGATATACCACGCTTATATTGATGACATTTATCTGTTATCTGAATAGTCGAAATTTATCTGTTTACGAGGCAACGTCAGTTTAAAAGTATCTCTTAAAATACAATAACTATTACTGCAGTCGGATTGGTGAATCCGTCAAATGGTAATTTTAGAGGGCTACATTTTGAATTGGACGTATTATATCATCGCCCATGCCCACCCGTCCGTTCACATTTGTTTAATGACACTCCAGAACTAAAGGTGACGTCACAACTTTATCGGATTTTGATGAAACTTAGAATATATGTTTTTATCCCAAAGATCTCGGAAGGGTTGGATTTTGGCACATATCAGACCGTAACTCACTTACATAGCTTGTGGACCATCTAGAGGTCACAATATTTATTCGATTTTGATTAACCTTCAAATGTTTATTACAATTTGGTAGAAATCGGGGACCGCAACTTCTTGGGTTATGGCCCGACCTTTTACGCATATATAAAATGTGAAATATGTATATGTACAAAGTTTGTGGATCAAAAGATCTCGGATGAGATTGATTTTGGTGGGTAACTTCTTGGGTTTGGCTCCTGTATTTCCGCAAAATGTGTAAGTTTGTGGGCACTCTAGTATAGATTTTCATCGTTATTTGTTGGTCCGTTCAGGGACGAATCCTATTGATAATCTGACCCCCCGCCCCTCCCCCTGCAGAAAACCTTGTGAAAAGGATATTTTTCAATTCGCTGTGAGGCATTGGGATCATAACAGGGCGAATCCTATCGATATTTAGCGTTCCGCGACCTACCGTTCTGTACCCCCACCCCAGTTTTGAACGAAATTTGCTCAAGTTTGGTGTGAAGCATTGGGGTCCTGCGAGAATGAACCCAATCGATATTCAACATTCTGCAACCTTTCGTCCCGGAGTTTTGCCCGCTTAGCAGAAAACCTTGTGAACGCGATAGTTTTTAACATTTGTGAAGCATTAAGTTCATGCGAGGACGAACTCTGTCGATATTCAGCATTCCACTGCCTTCAGTTTCGAAGTTACCCCACTTTTCCGAAAACCTGCTGAACGAGATAGAAGCTATCTTTAGTTCAAATTTTCTGTGAAGCATTGAGGAAGAACGCTATCAATATTCAGCCTTCTGTGACCTTCCGTTCTGGTGTTAATAACCTTTCCCGAAAACCTTGTGAACGGGATAGAGGCTACAGTTTTTAACGTGTTTATTTCCATTTTGGCGTGAAGCAGTGGGGCGATGCGATGATGCGTATGTGCCTTATCGATTGTCCCAGTTCTCCGTGGGCGTATCTTGCATTAAAACCCGCTTGTGGTATAGCACGAAGTTCAAATATCAACACCTTCGCTAAATATTTCTTTGTAAAAATGTCAAAGAATTTAAACAGGATAAAACTGTTAACGGTCTTTCCAGACGAATTAAACCATTTGTTATTAACTAAAATATATCAGAGATGGCTCCATTAAAATCAAAGAAACGGTTAATGCTACCCAGGAAAAATATCCCTCATAGCACACTGAGCCATGTGCATGCCCGTCTTCATTAGCCCAGTCGGAGCAGCAGAACAGTAGGACGTTAAACCCATTTTCATTCTACATGCCCAACCGAGACCAGTATTCACTCATTCATTTTCTTAGTATCTTTATCTCTTTTCATCACATATTTACCTGTGTATCAACAGGTAAGCTCTAATCCTAGGGTGTCTCAATAACATCAATACAACTTATTCAATTGTGCCGGACGTTTGGACGGTTAACGTTACTTTGTTGTCTATCAGTCGTATTTACTCGACAAACTCTTCCCACTTCTATTTCTTTATTTCATGTTTTACTTGAACCGACAATAGCCAGTCAATATATCAAGTGGCTATTTTAGTTTTCTTTGTGTCGATACGTCTAGGTCAAATGCTACTTTATTTGGACCACGGAATAAAAAGCATCAATGCGCATAAGGTTAAAGTACAATTACTATTTCCATAAATGCGTACACGTGGCCACTGGTGTTGGTGAAAATGGTAAATAAATAAATAATAAACAGCGAAATGTGATTCGAAAATTATATTCAACTCAATTTTGACTTAAAATGGGGCTTAACGCCCTGCTTTTTTTTTTTTTTTTTTTGCACCACCATGCAGGGTGCTATGTGATCTTGTTTCGAATTCCACACACGCCAATATGTGCTCGGGATCGCGTCTTTTCGTACCATTCGAATGACTAGACACTGTTATTTGCCAGGCGCTCCGTCCTGCACCACTGACAAGGCGAAACACTGAGCGAATCTGGGCCCCCTTGCTTATCCAGCCAGCACCATACTCACTGAAACACTGCGGCTCCCAATTGAATTATGTCGTGCTATAATAATAAACAACAGTAAATAAATGATGAACTGTAAAAATGACTGTTCTGCATCGACTGGGCTAATTAAGACGGGTATGCGCCAAACAGTGTGCAATGAGGAACATTTTACCCGAACAACGGCGCTACGGCCTACTATTATATCGAATTCTATAACTGTACGCGGGACCTCGGTTATTCGAACGACTAGTGGTTGTCCCTTGCCTGACCATTCGCCCTGCACCACTGACTGATAAGGGCGCACCACGACGGAAAATCCCGATGAACTTTCTCTGGAAATGGAACAATGGACCTCCAGGATAGCGAGGCAACGTCTTACTAATCGAGCCACCGTGGCTTTCTTGAAGACACGGCTTACGTTGTGGTTTAGAGCTTATAAAATGCTGGGATATCTGAAGAAAGAGAAAAGGCAATCGTTAAGCTGTAGCGATTGTGTAAATCTTTTTACATCTTCTTTATATCAGTGTTTTTAGTATTTTAATGTGTAATCTAATATGAGAAACTAAGCACTGTACAAAAGTTAACTCCTCTACTTATTATTTGAACTCGGGTCAGTGACAATATTCGATAATTAATCAAATGTGTACCAGTTTTAAACGTTCAACCATGACATATTTATCGTGTACCAGTATTTAGTAATACAGCATCAGTAAATAGCAACGAATGATTAGGCAAATTAGATGAATACCTCTATATTGTCTTGGAATTAGAAACATTCGTGTTAAACGTGCCACCGCGTACCCAGTATAGCTTCGGTACCTTTTATCGCCGATCGTGTGAAGGCAATTAGCATACCGCGTAAATCTCCTTGATTTATCACAAGTAACTCCAGTTTAAAGGCGAGATTTTGGCGCGAGAAGAGAGCTGCTACCTGTTATACTAATAAAACAATTATTGTTATAGCGAGAGGAAGTAGAGGGGAAGTTTTTATTGTTTGCATATCCTTCACCCACTGCTACATGCCTGTGAAACTACTCTCTCTGCTGGTGCGAGAAGTGAACGAGACTGGAACTCTCCGCACAGAAAGGTAATTAGCCTATCGACACGTGAGCAAACAGAGCAACGAAGGTATTGGCAAGGAAGAATAGACACACGTCATGTACATAAAATATACATTGTTATACAAAAATACAACAAAAC